TCTCTCTCTCTCTCTCTCTCTCTCTCTCTCTCTCTCTCTCTCTCTCTGTGAAACATTGAGACAAAGAGACAGACTCCAAGGATGGAGTTAAAGAAGTTATTTCCACTGGCTGGTGGTGCACACCTTTAATCACTGCATTATAGAGGCAGAGGCAGAAGAATCTCTATGAGTTTGAGGCCAGCCTGGTCTACAGAGTGAGTTCCGGAACACCCAGGGCTACAGAGAGAAACCCTGTCTCAAAAAAAAAAAAAAAATGCAAAACAAAAAACAAACAAAAAAAGAAGTTATTTCCTAGTTCTCATACTGTTTCCCTCCTCGGGTATGTGCGTGTGCATGTGCATGAGTGTGAGTGCATGTGTGCGAACTATCCTCAGATGTTGTATGTCAATCTATAGATTGCATACAATTTCCTCACAAGATATTCTCTCCCACAAGTACCGGCTGCACAGAACAGTTAGAGTAAAGATAGATCTATGTTACGGAACACAGGAGGAAACCATTTGCATCCTTGGGTAAGACAGAGATCCTGGAGGAACTGCAACAGGAGTCAAAACCAGGTATCTTCAACTGCCTCCTTTGATAGCTCTCCGCCGTACTTTAATAAACGAACAAGGAGACTCGTACCTTCCCTTAACACTGTCCAGGAGTCGAAGGCTCCTTTCGTCTGCCAGCTGGTTAACTCTTTATCTCAGTTTCCATTCGCTTACAGACTCCAAGCTCTCTGCTGCCCTAAACCACTCTTTGCAGCCCAGCGCTGTTACATCCTCTCTGCTCTTCATCATCAGGGTCTCTTCTATTGCACCTGCTCCATGTTTTCTCCATCCTATCTCACTCTTTGCTCTTACTCACTCAGCGCCCCCTTGTGCTGGTCCCTTCATGACATTACCCACATTTATCTTAGTTTTTCTTACCATCTTTCCACCCCTAACCCTTTTTTTACTCTTATCCCCATCTAGATTCTCGCCTCTTTGTTCTTTTAAGGTGTGCTGTCTTTCTGCCTTTCTTGAATTACATTAGGCTTAACTTCTAAATTCGTTTTTTATTGATTTTTATTGAGCTCTATATTTTTCTCTGCTCCCCTCCTGCCTCTCTCCTACACCCTTCAGCCCTCCCACAAGGTCCGCATGTTCCCAATTTACTCAGGAGATCTTGTGTTTTTCTACTTCCCATGTAGATTTGATCTATGTAAGTCTCTCTTAGTGTCCGCATTGTTGTCTAGGTTCTCTGGGATTGTGATTTCTGAGCTGGTTTTCTTTGCTTTATGTTTAAAAGCCACTTATGAGTGAGTACATGTGATAATTGTCTCTCTGGGTCTGGATTACTTCACTCAAAATAATGTTTTCTAGCTTCATCCATTTTCCTGCAAAATTCAAGATGTCGCTATTTTGTCCTTCAGTGTAGTACTCCATTGTGTAAATGTACCACATTTTCCTTATCCATTCTTCAGTCAAGGGGCATTTAAGTTGTTTCTAGGTTCTGGCTATGACAAACAAGGCTGCTATGAACATAGTTGAACACATGTCCTTGTGGCACGATTGAGCATCCTTTGGATATATACCCAAAAGTGGTATTACTGGGTCTTGAGGAAGATTGTTTCCTAATTTTCTGAGAAATTGCCACACTGACATCCAAAGGGGCTGTACCAGCTTGCACTCCCACCAGCAATGTGGGAGTGTTCCCTTTTCCCCACCTCTCCAGCATAAGTTGTCATCAGTGTTTTTGATCTTGGCCATTCTTACAGGTGTAAGATAGAATCTCAGAGTTGTTTTTATTTGCATTTCTCTGATGACTAAGGATACTGAAGATTTCCTTAAGTGTCTTTCAGCCATTTTAGATTCCTCTCTTGAGTGTTCTCTATTTAGGTCTGTACTCCATTTTTTTTATTGGATTATGTGTTCTTTTGGTGACCAATTTTTCTAAATTCTTACACAGAAAGAAAAGTCAGGGGTCATGAGCTAGAAACTCAATTCCCAGTCAGACAATGATGGGAGATAGTGGGACCTTGAAGAGCGGGAACTTCTTGAAATCAATTAGATCCCTGGGCATGCCATTCCAAAGAGATCACTATGGTCCTACAAAGACTCAAGAGAGAAAGCAAGGGCACTCTGGGTGCTTACACTCTTCCATATAGCTGTTCCCTTCCAGCCTTCTGACACGTATTGTAGCCAAGAGAACCCTCATCAAAGCATTCCATGTGTCTGCCTAATATTGAACTTTCAGCCTCCAAAACCATGAGCTAAATGGAGCCTTTCAAATGACAGGTATCCTTCTTCAGGTATTGTATTATAGTCCCAGAAAACAGAATACTACAGTACAGAAGCAAGATAATTTTCATGTTTACCCCAAGTCAAATAGAACAAGACAAATAATTTGTCTCTTAAGAACAAATATCAAATTTATAAAATTGAACACAGCTTCATGGATCTTGACATATAATATTAGTTTAGATATACTACATAGTGCATACATGACTGACATGTTAGGGTATTTTTCATATGAAATGAAAATACAGCAGAAAAAGCAAAGCTGTGTTTTTCTTTTCCACTCCACATCACTCTATTTAACCATGCATTATTTATTTATTTATTTGAGCCTTGTTCTCTTATCTCGCCTTTGACTAAACCTTGAGAAAAGTGTCTGTACCGTGTAGGAGGCAAAGACAAAGGAACTGAAATGTGCTAGGTTTTCACTCTGCTCCAGGCTTCTGCTACCTGCTCAGCGTATCTACCCTTGTCACAATCCTGGGAAGTACAGACGATGTTTTGAATTTTAGGAATGAGGAACTTGAGCTTCAGAAAACTTAAACATTGTACTTTAGACTGTATCTCCAGAACAGAAAACAAGAGAACTGAAAATCTCAGAAGAAGCTGATTTTAGTAACCTAGTTTTCCTAAGAATGTCTCCAATATTAGACACATAATAATTACATATCATCTGTGATGATAGGCAAGGTGGTACCTAACTGTAATCAGAGCACAGACTGAGATGGGGTGTTTGATGTACACTGAGGATACAAAGCATAGCAGACTACTGTCCTGTCATCACTGTCTTCCTCATCATCCTGACCTTGATTGACATGATGGCCACACCAGTGTACTCACTTTTTGAAAATTCAAATTATTATATTATATATAATATTACATATTACATGAAATTTAAAAATTATGCACACACACACACACATATATATATATATAAAATTAGTGGAATGTTGTACTTCCAAGTATTATAAACATGAAAAAATAGTGTTTATATGTTAAGAAAAATATAATCATATGACAAATATTTAATTAAAAATACTCTTATATATGTATAGCTAAGTATAGGCTGTGTAATATACAGAAGAATTTTTAGGATAGTGTAAAAGAAAGTGCCTTGGTGTTGTATCACAAGTATTTTTCCTAGAGAATGAAATTATAAGTTGGCTTAACTTTTATTCTTACATTATTCTACATTTTCTAACTTGGAGTCATTTTAGTCCTAAATCCACCTTGTTGCTAGACATTGACGCAATACTCCTAGGAAGCTTACTTTATAATCCTCACACTGTGTGGCTACTATAGTCAGAAAACATCAGCAAATGCTATGGAAAAGGCACAAAACAGCGGAATGATATTCCAAGTGGTGACCAACTTTTTTGTGCATTTTTGTTTTTTGAGACAGGGTTTCTCTGTGTTAACAGCCCTGGCTGTCCTGGAACTTGCTCTGTAGACCAGACTGGCCTTGGACTCACAGAATCCCCTGACCCTGACTCCAAGTGCCGGGATTAAAGGTGCAAGTCACTACCACCCGGCAGTAATAAACTTTTATGTGACAGATTTTATTTCATTTCTGTGAATTATTATGTTCTTTTTAAGTTTTTAAGTTTTCTTCTATAATCGGGGGAGTGGGTGACAAGGAGCTTTGAAATATCAGCAAAGAGCAACCTTCCAGATGATAGTGTAGGAGCCACCAAATTTTTGCCTCTCCACAGAAGAAATGAATATAGCAGAGAAAAATGCTGAAATTGACCTTTCCAGATCTGTGGAAGTTGACCAAAGTCTTTAAGGTTTTACTTCGGTTCCAAGTATAAGGCCATTGAGTTTGTGGCACTTGAATTAGTACTGTTCTCACCCCGTCTTCAAATCCCCATAACAACCTCAAAATTCTACAATTTTAAAACCAGGGATGCTGTAAGATCAGTAGCCGAGCATCCACAGAGGGACCAGAACAATTCTGGAGCGCCCAAAGATCCTCCATCTGAAGAGTCAGCACATTTGACCTGTCTGGCAGATTCCCTAGGAAAGTTCTGTAGTGAGGTTTGTGATTTGGCTTGACTCCGAGCCCACACGGTAAGGAAAGCAGAAGCCATTCACCAGAGCACACATGTCACTGTTTCTACTTATACAAAATGTCCAGAATAGGCACACCCATAGGGACCGAGAGCAGACGTGTAGTCTCTAGATTTGGTGAGAACAGTGACCAACTACTAATGGGTGCGGGAGCTCCTGATGAGGTCAGATGTTCTATAATCAGAGCGGTGGCAAAGATAGCACTTTGTCAATATACTAAAACTTACTGACTCATACATTCTGAAAGGTGTAAGTATCATAGTATATCAGTATATCATTAAAACTATTACTGAGTCATAGACATAAAACAATACAAAAGAGTACAAAAGAAAAAAATGACCACATGTGCTTGCCCCCGTGAGCTCCTCAGTCTCCCTTTCCACCTTCCTGTGTTCCCCTTGGGCTGCTTTCCTTGTCCTTCATCCCATTTCTTGCGACTCTCCTGGGTTTGTAACCTACTCAGTTCTGTGCACCACGCTGCGCTCCCCATCTTACACAGGAGACTCATGAGCCATGGAGAGGAGAGGGCCCAAAGAGAGCCAGCATTAAGAAGAAGCAGGAGCAGGAGGCTGCACTGAGCCGCTCCCGTGGTGGCTTCCAGGCTTCCTCTTCCTCTGTGATGGAGAAGGACTTGCACAGGATCTCAGCCCGTCTCTGAGCTTCCTGAACCAGAGTCAAACCACTGGATCCATCAGCATCCACTTCTTCTCCCTGGGATCTTCTTTCTCTCTTCCCTGGCCCCTGTCATATCTCTGAATCTCTTTTATACGCCTTTCCACCCCTTTCCCTAATCACTTTTCTCTCTCCATTGACTCTAGATGCTGAAGTCTAGCAGCTTCCCTCCAAAACACCCCCACCTCTCTCCATATCTCTGCCACGTGTCTTTCTAAACTTTAAATTATTCCCCAAGGTTTTCTATATCAAAGCCATTAACAAAAACATCTTAGCCTAGCTTTACTAATCAATGCTTGTCTAAATTCTTTCTAAGGATGGTGGTTGAATCTGCTTTCTCTACTCCAGCAGCAAGACTTGGAAAAAGTCAATCACTATTATTTTAAATACCAGTAACACTGCCCAATGAAGGGCTAGAAACCCCCTGAGAGTTTTCATACAACCCAGTAGATTATGAGGGGCGTGGTGACCATGGGGACAATAAGCAGAGCTATGCTCAATAACAGCATGGGGTCCTCAGGACAGGTAGTCCTCAGGGCTTTGCCTCTCCTAGGCTCACTTGCATTGGTTTTGCTGAAATGCATGAAAACAAAATCAACATTAAAGGAATGCAAGTGACAACTACATTGAGTTTCCATTTCGTCCCAATCAGAATGACTGTCATCAAAACAAATGGTGGTAAGGATGTGGAGTGGGGAAATGCTTCTAAACTGTTGATAGGGATTGTGGTGCAGCTACGATGAGATCTGTATGGAAGTTCTTTAAAAAATCAAAAAGAGCTACTGTATGAGCTGAATACCCCAGTCTTTGATTATGATTACCCAACGCAGTCGATCAAAGGCTGCACAGTATAGAGCAACTGCCCACTCGTGTGTATCATGGGACTATTCACAACCAAGTCATGGAATCAGTGTAAGTATCCATTGGTATATAAATGGATAAAAAAAATGATATATAAAGAAAAGCTGAAACCTTTTACCATTCAAAATCATGGCCCCAAACTAATTACTTATATACTTGGGGGGGACACCATCCCCAGCTTCCCTCACTCTCCACCTTGTTAGCTTCCAGAGCAAGAGCAGAAGCCAAAACCAGAGAAATGCTTGGAAGAAGAAAGAGCAAAGCAGACATAACATACATTCTTCTCTCTTCTCTCTCTCTCTCTCTCTCTCTCTCTCTCTCTCTCTCTCTGTGTGTGTGTGTGTGTGTGTGTGTGTGTGTGTATTCTGGTATGTTTGTGTTGTGGTGTGTGTCTCTGTGTTGTAGTTAGTGTATATGCAGAAACCAGAGGTTGACAATAGGCATTTTGCTTTTTGAGACAGTCTCTCTCTGAATCTGGAGTTCCATGGTTGATATTGAATAATATTACTGGCCAGTAATCTCCGGGCTTCTGTCTGTCTCAGCATTTCCAATGCTGGGATTACAAACATGCATAACCGAGCACATTGGCTTTTTAATGTGGTTTCAGGTATGGAAACCAGTCCTCGTGTCTGCCTAATTTGTGCTTTATCAACTCAGTTAACCACAGTGCCTATGTGCACAGTTCATCTTGTTCTAGCTGCCAGCCAACTATTTCATTTGTTGGTTGCAGGGCAAAATGAAAATGAAGGATACCCAGTTTAGGACACTGAGGATAGAGCATAGTGTCATCCCAAACCCACAGCCTCTGTGACTAGCACAGACCACATGCCCAAGATGGTACCACTGCCAAATCTGGGGCAATAGAAGGTTATGAAATCGTTTCTGTTGCTGGTATGAAGCCAGCTTGGCTATTCTTTCCTCTGTAAAGCCATGGTGACAGGGGTGAGCCATATTTATTTACTGCTGGCCATAAGCAACATTCTGCTCCTGGAAGCCTGGAGCCTAGAAATACAAAGTGTTAGAGGTAGCCCCACACCCACTCCTGCTGGGGGAATTAGAAAGAGGCTGGCTTAGAACCATTTTGAAACAGTCAAACTCCTTAGTTCTTAGGAAACTTTCACAATTGTGGGGCAGAAGGTCACTCAGTAAAAAAAAAAAAAAATTACATAGTAGTCATCTAAGTACCTGTCTGAGTCTTTCCCATATGCCGATGCTACACATTCCTGGGTTATTTTCTTATGTTTAATAATGACTATTGGATACTATTCATGTTACTTATGGGTATTGGGTGAGAGATGAAAGGGATGAGAAAGCTGCCTGCTATTTTTATCCATTGTACATCCTGCAGGGGAAAAATAGAGATTATCATTATTCCCCCTGCATGCCCTGTGTAGCCCATACAGTCTTGAACAAAGGTTCAGTTCAGAATTTTGGATCATGGACTTTTGATAGTTGAGCAAGGAACTTTTTGAGGTCAGAGAACAAAAGTCATTACAAGCTGATGTACCTTTCTTAATAAGATGGATTGGTGATCAAAGGTGATGAATAATTCCTTGTATCCATTTCTGCCCTCAGAGTCCTGATATGATTTAATAAAAAATCCTGTTGATGAGTGGGCATACAACCTAAGGATTTAAAGTAAAAATGACTGATTGTTTTCATATATGAAAGTTTAGATTTGTGACATTTTTAAGATTTGTCTTATAAGATTACCTTTTGGAATAAATAATAACACAATTCTTTTTTTGTAACTATAAAATGCAGCCTGCTAGTAAAAGAATTGGCTGAGAAAAATACCTTGCTTGCTTATATTTTATTAGTCTATAATGAGTTACTAAGATATGAATGTATGTGAGTCCTTAGAAATAAGTTGTTCTGCACCTGGAATACTTCAAATGTTTAATCATGCAAAGGAAATGAGAAACATGCTTTTAAAAATGTATATTCATTATAATCATCCTCTTGAAAATCGGAATGTAGCAACATTGTAAGTTTTATACTGCTTGAAAGATTTTGCTGGGGTATATAAGCCATAAGGGAAAAACAGAGATATAGAGAAGGGATATATCAGGAAAGTTGTAAAGAAAGAAATAAAGAAGATAGATCCTGACATGTTGAAGGTGTGTGTGTGTTCTCCCTTTTTGGCTGGCCCCGAAGAACTAAGTTTTGCCTCACTCACCAGCCCCAGAGGAAGAAGTTTTACTCCTGTGGGAAGAAGTCAACCATGTGAGTGATTAGTTTGCTGACTCCATGCTTCGGTTTCAGCTCCTGAGCAGCCAAAATCTGACCTTACTGCAGCCAACCATACTATGTGAGTCTGCAAGCAAGGATCACCTAGAAAAGTCTAGTTGAAAACAGAATATGCCAGGAGTAGTACGTCCTCCCTTCAAGTGCTTGAGGAAACTCAGTTTTCCCTCCTACCTTTGAGAACATAAGCTTTTGTTTCATTGCGGCCATCCTGAAACAAAACAATGTTTGTGTTTGGAAATGGCTGTATGAAAAGGGACTTTGACATCAGATTCATCAGTTAAGACATTTATTTGTATAAAGGTAAGCATAAATTAAGGTATAGATAGAGCAGGAAAGAGATATTGGCCAGTTAACATTAGGTAAAGAGCGTGCTTCCTCAGGGAGGAGCCTGGCATCTGAGCACTGAGGACGCATCTGTCACACCCACCTGCTCTAAGCAAAGTAAACTACTACATTTGTACAGAATTTCATTTTCTATGTTTTTAATACCCCTTATTAAATCAGAATGGGTTTGATATGGTCCTCAAAAATTAATAACATTAAAATTCATATACAACACTCAAAAACTAACTGATCTTTCAACTATCAAAAATAAAAACCAGATTGTTTCTAAGGCAACATGTTCCTCCATGGCCATCCACCTCAGTGACAGCTGTTCCTTCGGTCAGTTTGAAGTCAATAATCTCCTGCATGTGAATTATCTACAGTCTCCATGGCACAAACACCGCGTCATTGTGCATACCAAACTCTTTGATAAAATGTATGTTGCGGGGGGGGGGGGGGACTCAAGACACATTTCTCTGTGTAACAGCCCTAGCTGTACTGGAACTCACTCTGTAGACCTGGCTGGCCTCAAACTCAAAGATCCACTTGCCTCTGCCTCCGAAGTGTTGGGATTAAAGGTGTGCACCACCACCACCTGGCCTAAAAATGTATGTTCTCACTCTGTATCAAACGCATGACAATCTCCTGCCACAGCCTCCCAAGAGCCAGAATTGCAGCAATGAGTCATGCTGCCCAGTTTTCAAATATTTGAGTACAGCTCACAGTAACTTCTAACTTGAAATTTCCATCCTATAATATGAACATTTGATGTTCTCACTCTGTGTTTATTTCCCACTTGATGAGACCAATCTGAATGGCGGTGAGGCGTGAGTGTGACTTTCAACTACCACTTCGGATTCATTTGACTTGGTTTATCTATGATTTTTTTCCTTTGGTAAAAGAAGTGCATTAATTTTGTTTTCAAGTTCTATCATCGCATTGCTGTATTGATTTACATCCCTTGAGAATCTTTTGAAGATTATTTTATCTTTAACTATTGTTAAAAGTTGTTACACATATATTATATATGTGTGCATCATAAACACTGAAATAAAATCTCTTCAGTCTGTGTAATGTTATAATCTCAAAAGATCAAAAAAAGAAAATGTAAAAAAGATTATATGTGTGTGTGCGTGTGTGTGTGTGTGTGTGTATACCTATATTTAAAGTTACTCAAAATCAGACACTGAATCAAGTTCTCAGATAAAGGAAATATATTTGGGGCACTATCTCAGAACTATAAAAAAATTTGGAGGACAAAATAAGAGGAAAAGTTCGGAAAAGAGTGGATCAACAAATGCATGACTGAGTGTGAGCAATTGGAATCAAACTTTCCCTAGACTTTAGTGGGGCATGCTCTAATTCTCTAATTCATAAACACTTTTCTGGTAGCTCCTGCTTGCTTTGATGATCAGCTTCATCAGAGTGATGAAGAACAAGGCCAATGGTCCTGAGGCACTGTAGGAAGACTAGAGTATCATTGTGCCCGAGAAAACACAGGAAGACTAGAGCATCATTGTGCCCGAGAAAACACAGGAAGACTAGAGCATCATTGTGCCTGAGACACCGCAGGAAGACTAGAGCATCACTGTTCCCGGAGCCAATGACCTTGAGACACTGTGGAAAACTAGAGCATCATTGTGCTTGGAATACAAAATAAACATCAAATTTCACAGGGAAAGGGAGCTGGCAAGAAATATCCAAAGAAAAGGAAAATTCTACCAGGTAGACAGACAAACTTTCCCTCCCATGATTAATCAGAAAATGGTAGCAAAGGAAGTAGTCAGAGTTAATAAGTCATTAACTGTTTCAGGAAACATTTACATTTAAAGTCCTTACCATAAAACATGACTGATATCTGCTTAGATAGCACAAGAGAAGCGGCCACATACCCACGTGCCATGTTTTGTATCTGATTAACAGCTTAGTTGCAAGAACTGAGTCTCAGCCTGCTGGGTAGAATATGCTTCACAAGCATTGAGTACTATTGTCACAATTTCAAGGAACAAGTAACAGAGTCCTGATTTTTGATAAAACAGAAACTCAGAAAACTTAAAAGATTCACCTAAGATCATTTCAACCAAAGGGCCACCCTTGACCCATAGGGAGTTCAGTTTCAGGAGCACTGGGTGTTGGTGTCACAGGAGTTTCTAAACAAGGCAAACCTCCTAGTGGGATGGACAGGGAGGAAGCTGGAAGTGGAAAAATCAATACCTTCCCAATTGGAGTTATGCACTCATAACTCTGAGAGGCAAATGGATCATCATAGGCTTGGGGTTTGTTTTGTTTTTTCACTTGTGATAAAAAGGAGCCTGAGAGTAGAAGAAAGAACTGGGACTAAACACAGACTGGTTCCAAGTTAGAAGCGAATATAGCTTTAAGGTTCCCTCCTAGACCCTGTAAAGAGATTACAGGGTAAGAACTAAGCCTAAGTCCCAATCTGAGCCTCAGATGACAAGAAAGTTCTTGGCTGAGGATGTGACCACGTGACACAAAAGGAAGGGTTGGAGGAGGAGCTGAATCCTTGACAGTTACCCACTTCAGAAACTACAATGCATTAGGTGTGCCCCAAGTCTGCATGGGGAAGGCAGTTTGTCCCTGAAGGTCTGCTGGTTAAAAATTACACAGTTGCCTATGGCCATGCCTGGAAGATCATACATAGGCCTCTGATCAGGAGCTGAATACCTCAGAGACTTCCACTGGAGTCTTGAAATCCAAACATAATTTTGTTCTCTCTTCACTAGGCCCGGGAATTTTATTTGTACACACAGGAGGTACAGTCTCTTTTGGTTAAGAAAGATTAAAACAGATCAATTATTGTTCCAGTTGTTGCTTTTAAAATATTGACACAAGGAAAGGATAGAAGAGGGAGAAAAATAACAGAAATTACTTTTTAGTTTTGAGAATAACAGTGTTGACTAGATTAGAATAAATATAGTAAGCAATCACTTTTGAAACTTAGCTATAGTGTCAGGTCCCTATATATCGATCACAAGGTACCTGTACCAATCCTTAAAAGAAAAAGTTCTTACCATGAACCCTGCATAATCATATGAGCATGTAATGTCATTGAATTTATCTGGTTTTAATCATTTCCTTTCTGATGGGCTCACATGGCCTTTGCGGTGACTGTCAGAGAGCCAGCCCTTACTAGGAATTGTTTACAGATGAAAATTCTTTTATGATCATTGTTAATGACAGGCGATGTCATTGGATAGTAATGATTTACTAGATGTAGTAATAAATGAATAGAAAAATCACAAGATTATAGTGAGATGTACAAAATATTGATAACCCTGACTTGAAGTAAAGTCTAGAACCTCTAAGCTATGTTCTCTTTTGGATTATTTTGGTCTTGCAAAGGCTGCATTAGCCCCACGTCTTTAATTTCTTTCTTCATATAGATTGTTGTCCTTCCTCAGCCCTTTTTCCAAAATTACACTTGACAAAGAATCAATCTAAGAATGTCCCAACAGGGGATCTCTGAGAAGACCATATTTCACTGAATGCCCCAACAGGGGGTCTCTGAGAAGACCATATTTCACTGAAGGCCCCAACAGGGGGTCTCTGAGAAGACCATATTTCATTGAATGCCCAGCAGGGGTCCCTGAGAAGACCATATTTCACTGAAGGCCCCAACAGGGAGTCTCTGAGAAGACCATATTTCATTGAATGCCCAGCAGGGGTCCCTGAGAAGACCATATTTCACTGAAGGCCCCAGAGGGTCTCTGAGAAGACCATATTTCACTGAAGGCCATGCACACAGTGAAGGATTGTTTGGTTGCCTGTTGAAATCTGGCATGTGTGTATATCCCTCATGATGGCCAATTAGGGCCAAATTTCCATCCTTCTGAGTTCCCAGATTTATCTTACTAGAAGAAAATGAAGGAGGCAAAGGGGGAAAATATAACAAATCTGTAAGTGTGTGTGTGCATGGGTATGTGGTGGGGGGGAAGATGCTGAAGAGAAATTAGAAACAACCAAGATGGCCACTGAGGGACATCATGGCATTAATACTGTTAAAGTTTTAACCAAGCTTTGTTCTCTGTCCACACCAGGTGGTGAGTCATCCAGTGAAGAGCCTCTTGTGATGGAAACTAAATATGTGATAATGAAGAAACAAGAAGCAAATAGTTTGCACAGTTCAAGTCAACTCTCATTTCAAAGATAAAATAAAGACTGCATCCTTTAAAAGGTTTTCTAAGTCTTCTCAGCTTAGCTTCCAGAGAAAGGCACATAGCCATCGAGTGTGTGAATCACTCCTCCGAAGGGCTAGTAGACCTTGCATTAAGGCAGTTCCTGCCAAGAAATGCTTAGGGTATAATTCTGCTGGGTGTAAAATTTTCAGATCATAGAAACACATTGTGAAACTCACCATTTGGAAGGAGGCAAGTGCCGTGTGGTATGCCGTTGCTGGGCCTGAACATCATCAGCTGGACGGCACTACTGTCTTCTGTACTCCACAGGCAGGAAAGGCTTTCTGATGCTCCTCTATACCAATGGCTTCTCTCTTCACGTCCACCACTGCCATCTTGCTTCTGTGTCTTTATTGTTTACCTTCCTTCTTGCTGCCTCTGCTCCCTGAAGCTGCTTTTACCCGCTTTCCTCGCCGATGCACTAAAGGTAGAAAGGACAACTGACACAACATCCTAGGAGTGAGTCTTCATCTCCATTGCCTGGTAACAAACAAAATATAAACAATGTGGTCACGTTTCATTCTAGAGAAATTAGGTCACTTGTGATTTCCAGAAAGATACATGTTATTTCTCCCTTAAAGATCTGCAGACTTCAACTCAGAAAACAAATACATAGGGCTAGCCTGGCCTAAACATACAGCTTGTTTAGTATGAACTGGGGTTCTAAACAGGATCCTGAGCATTAGAAGAGAATATCTGTAATTTGAATTAGAAAATAACAAATGCTTTAGAGCCGCAGAACTGTTAGGTGCCAGAGATCATTTGATCTACCTGCTTAATATTCACAAAGGAAAAGACAGAGTTCTATAGGCTAAGGATACTCAAAGTCACCTCACTAGTTGGAGATTGCCTCACCTTAATAATTCAAAACAGCCATGTTTTGGGTGGTTTGGTTGTTTTCCTCTGTTCTTTGTTCTGGTTGTTTTGTTTTAATTGCATAGCTTCTGCAAAGAAGAAAGCAAATTGTAATGACCAGACCAACTATTTATATTTTTTTCTTTTCTGAATCCACATCATGGTCGTTACTCTGTGCATTTCTCTTTTGTACCCTCCCACAGTCTGGGTCACAGGACCTCTCGTCATCCTCAGTCACCTCCTAAGTATGTGTCCCTTAGAATACCCCCAAATTTGGATCCAATCCAACCATCTCACTGTTCACACAGGCTTCTCTCTTCCGTATCTCTCACTCAGCTAGTCCTCATTCTGACTACTCTTTATCTTAACCAATGCATCCCTCCACTTTCTCCCAGTTAATCCCTTTTGTTGTCACTTCTTTCCTTATGTGACAGTCTAAAATTCTAAAAGATTATATACCTTTCCTGGGCAACCTCCTTCATTCCCAAATGGATGAGACAATATCAAACATTTCGCCTGTAGCCCCGACTCCTTCCTTAAACTCTTGGTCTATGTGGTAAAGGGCTCATTGACCATTTGATGATTAAAGATTCTATAAGCAGCTCCCCAAGTGGACCGTTTCCTCAACAGATTTTTCTCCTGAAAGGCAGAGTGACTTTGCCATCACATTGGGAGTGGGTTGCTTTCATCTGAGAGTCAGAAGAGTCCCTGTTTTAAAAAATCTAAGCAGAAGGACCAACAATATAGTGTGTTTTGTGGATGCTTCCCACTACTGAAGAAATCCTGAGTTCTTAAGAAATATGGACTCAAAGGCAGAAGAATTACTGTAAGTTTAAGTTCAGTGTGGTCTATATAGCAAATTCTAAGCCAGGCAGAGCTACACAGTGAGACTCTATTTCAAAATGTGTGTGTGTGTGTGTGTGTGTGTGTGTGTGTGTGCGTGCGTGTATGTGTGAATTATCTGATGTGTAGGTTATAATGATATCTGTAATCAAGGTTACTTTCCAGGGATTCAGAGACACGTTTTATTATAAACACCAACTCTTGATTTAGCATGCAGATGTCTAATAAGTAATTAGAATGAGATGAAATTATCTGACATTTTCTATTTCATAATATGTGTCTCCTTGGCTGTCTGAACCTTTAGATCAATCAGATTATTACACAGTTCATTATGTAGACATATTGGTAATTTAAGAAATAAAATTCTGGAGCCATAATATGGTCAACTTGCCTTAGAACTTATCTGGTTTCTCTTCTCCCTCATGAAGGCTAAAAAAATAAAAACCACTCAACAGAACAGGAAACACCAGACCATGAAAGGGGTGAAAAGAGGTAGCACTCGAGTTCCTGGAAGATTGTAACTTTCTCCAAGAAGAGGTCTGCCAAGTTCTCTCCGCATTAGCATCGGTCTCTCCCTTATTATTCTCACACAATTCCTGAGAGGCCTCATCTTCTTGGGGCTGACCAGCTGATTTGTCAACCCTACTCCCACTTCTTCATCCCTTGGCCTTTGAGTGAATGTATGCTGTTGAAGCTCTGTCTTCATTTTCATTAAGTTCATGACACCAAAAGGAAAAAGATTCTCTTTAGGGGATACTCCTACCAAAGGGAACCAATAAATTGTTAGTAACATTCTTTTGTATCATCAGTCACCAAATCCTATAGGCATTGCTACTAACCAATTTGACTAATTTATTGAGTGAGTATGTATTATTAACTATATGCCAAACATCAATCTAAGTGCTTTGGACACTATAGCATTGAACAAAATAAGCAAAGCCTCATGCCCACAAAACTTACATATTTTTGGGGGGAAAACATAATGTATATTCAGGATTGAATTGTGTTCTCACTTGTACATTAAAATCCTAACCCTTAGTACTTCATTACATATTTGGAGATAAGATTTTTAAAAAGAAAGGATAAAGTTCTTAGGATGGATCATAACCTATATTATTGATATTATTGGCATCTTTATAAGAAGAGGAAATATAGAATTGACTACAGAAGGAATGCAGTATGAAGAAACAGCATAACACTAGCTGTCCATACTCCAAGGGGAGATATCAGAGACAAACCAATCCTACCAGCACACTAATATCAGACTTTTAACTCCAAAAGTATGAGAAATTAATTTATGATATTTTTCCTGTGCAGTGGGGTAATGTTCTTGTACACTGTAAATATTTGTCAGTCATATTGGTTTAATAAAATGTTGATTGGCCAGCATCCAGGCAGGAAATATAGGTGGGGCAACCAAACTAGGAGAATTTTGGGAAGAGGAAAGACACAGATGGAACCAATAGCCAGACACAGAGGAAGCAAGATGAGAATGCCTCACTGAGAAAAGGTACCAAGTCATGTGGCCAAGCATAAATCACAATTATGGGTTAATTTAAGCTGTAAGAGCTAACTAGGAATATGCCTAAGCCATTGGCCAAACAGTGTTGTAATTAATATGGTTTCTGTGTGGTTATTTGGGTCTGGGCAGCTGAGAAACAAAAGTACAGTCTCTATCTACAATCCTGTCTACGGTACATTGCTGGGCCATTCCCTAGAAAACAAACAAAATGTTTATTTTTGTGCTTTAAAGAAAAGAAAATTATAGAAGGTGAAAGTGATAAAAAAGAAAAGAGGAAACAGGAAAAGTGATAACCAGCAAAGGGAGCAGCCCACCGTTAAGGGGCTTTGTGTAGGAAGACAGCTGGAAGGGAAAGGGGACAGAATATGAACTGAGAAGTGGGTAAGGCCAGATTGCAAAAGGCTCTTAGCTGAAGACAGAGTGTAGACTTTCTGTCGGCACCCCAACCTCAGAACTATTAACAATTTTTATCAAATAATTCTTTGATGTGAAGAGCTGTCCTGTGCATTATGTGAGCTCTTCTAGGAGACACCGGCAGCAGGCCTTGCCCTTCTGTGCTACCTCACTGCAACAACATTTGTTGCTGCCAAATATCACCTGGACACACAACGGCCTCTGCTTGGGAATCAAGGCCACAGATGAAGCGGTAAACCATTGAAATAGCACTCGGGCAATTAGTTTCAGTCCTGCTCTCTGAATAAATACACCAAAAATGGATTGAGTCAGGGGAGACCAAACGGAGAAGTGAAGAAATCTAGGCAAGTTGCCAAAAAAAGAATAGTGAACAGACTCAAAAAATGTGGATGGTAGGCTCAATAGAACCTGTGGTATGTGAGGTCAAGGGAGGAAAGAGTCATACATATCCTCCAGTTCATGTTTTAAGCCCCTGGGTGAATGCTATGGGAGAGAAGCCGGTTTGAAGGATGTTGGAGCATCATTCTTTTCCAAACATGGAACTGTCTTTTTAAAAAATCTTTGCCATTATGGAAGAGATGTAAGTGTGGATGAATATGTGAATCCACTGCCCCGAGGAAACATTAAAACCATAGATTACAAACTTGAGAGTCCTCATCTGTAAATGGAAAGCCACAAAACAAGGTTATGTCATCTAAGGATAGCATGGAAAGAGTATATTTAATTTTTCTTCACCTACATCTTTAATGAACTAGCAGTAAATAGCCTTTGCCCATTTTTCTATTTGAAGTTTCCCCCAATTTTTGTCATGCAGAGAATGCCTTTAATACTATGAATATTAGTAATCTAGCTAATAGAAAAACCAATCCATTTTTTCTATATAAATTCTAAACTAAGTACCATGCCTTAAAAAAAAAATCCTACTGTTCCAAAACTATAGGACTTCACGTAATCCCCACAAGGATGGACCTAATTACTGTCTCCAATTCTTCTCAAGGTTGAAAACACCAAATAAATCCAGAGTAACCCACATGCACACTAACTGTGCATTAGTGAAGATGCAGAAACACTCTAGAATTACTGAAATACTTATTAAAACATTCAGCATGGACCAGAAGCCAAACTGGGTTTTCCTAAGTCAAGAGCTGGGGCATTAAGTCTACCAAGATGCCAAGAAGTCCTGCCTGGCTGACTGTCCTATAGGTTAACGAAAAGGAGGGTAAAGAGGCCAAGGAAGACTGGAACCCCGTAAACTGGTCTCTTTAACAATCATCAATGACTGCAAACAAGAGGAGAGTATGCACTCCTTATCCATTTCACCATCACCACAGGGAAAAAAAAAAACCCTGAGGTCTGATCTTGTTTCTTTACAGTATCACAGATCAAATCAATGCCCTATTACAGACTAAGCAAGAACCCACCCATTGAATTCCGATTTTTCTTCGTTTCTGCTTCTAATGCTTCTTTCTAGGAAGAGGACCCAACTCAGAGAGCAACAGACTCTTAAGCATAGATTAACTATTATTTCTTTAGCAAGAGATATGTGTGAGATGGGAAGGAACAAGAAAATGCCCCGTGGGTGCTTCCCAAAAAGGATGGAAGGAGAGATGGGGCTTCCCTTTCATGTGAACGAGGGAAAAAAGAGATTTCCCATCAGAATCCACATAAGTTTTCTATTATTAATTTCAGAAACCATTGTACTTTCATGCTTGTCACTAATAAGCAACACACAAACATCTTCACTTCATTTTTCAGCAAGACTGGTGTTACACTATAGGCTAAGGGTAATGGATTCAGGAAAGGTTTAGAGCATCTTGAGATGAACATTTCTCTGAACTAAGTGAAACTGGCTGTTTAAAAGACACTTCTACATAGGTTACAGGTCTTAAGAATTTTCTCAAGTTAGTCTGACTGAGCCTATTTTGCTCATCAGCAATTATATCAAAGGTAGCAACAAACTAGCAGAAAGCATCTGGTCTACCACCTTTCACTGTGTGAGGTGCTGAGTATTAGGGTATAAAGTTCTCTCTCCATCTCTGAGAAGTAGCCAGAGTTACTGTGGTGTCTTCAGAGGGTTGTGAGGGATCACATGACTATATTCCAATTCTCCTTCCTGTGATATCCCTCCCTTGAGAGGGATATATCACGCTACACAACATCAGCTTAAGCCACGAGGCTTGCTTTAGACCACTACATGGAAGCAGAATTGACATTTGTCACTTATAAGCAGAAGTTTTAAGAGACAGCATGCAATCACTCAGCTCAGTTTCCCTTATCCATGACCCAAGTAGAAGCTACATTGTCACTCTAGA